CATCGATAGTAGCACCAGGTGTCTAGAAGTTAGGATCGGATCAGATTAGCAATGACCACTAATGCTTCAAGCCCAAAAGAGATAGAACTTACTACTGATGCCTCGTGTGATGAAGGAACTGCCGCATGGGATCCCGAGAGACTTGCCGTGGGCGAGCTGGACGACGGATTCATCGAGACCGACGTCAGTCGTGATGCCGCTGCGTTGATCGTGGAGTTCAGGGGATCAGTATCTCCGCACACGCCGTAGGAAAAAGTCGGGTTGCTCGCGGTAGCCAGTGCGGGCCGGCGATACAGCTGGCATTCGCCGGGCTGAGTGAACAGCCACGCCTGGCAACGCTCCCACTGACTGCACCGCGTGGCACAGTCAGATATCGACGGGAAGTTGTAGCCAAATGTCAGGGGAGCGCTACTGAAAAAGGCAATAGTATCGTTCTGCACATTTTGGTCGCACGAGGAGGCCGCGGCAGAGACCGTGGGGAATCCGGTCGAGAGAAGTAGCCAGACGGTGCTGATAAGAAAAAAAAACATCACGCCAGTGCTGAAGAGACACAATAGAAAAGAAAGAAGAATAGCCAACAGGGGCTTTGTCTCTGATAAGTTTCGTGTGATCTCAGGGGTGAGGCCAAGGAGCTGCGAAATTCCAGTCAACACGAAAGCGATAGTCTGCTGAGGTTTCGCCCCGAAGCCGAATCAGAATCATATCCATCGGATTATTAAAAAATAAAATTAATCTTTTCTTTCGAGGACTGTAAAGCATGGACGCAGGCTAAGCTTATAAGATATCTTAATTGCCCGATGTCCGACCAAACCACTAGCTCACCTCACGATCTCGCTTGGAGATATGTGCCTCGGATCCTAAGCTTGTAACGCGGAGATCAAGCCACATCCGTATCTGATGAGATGTCATCCAGAGTTTCCCTGGAAGGGTGTTGGTGGGGAAAGGGCTGTTACTAGAACCGCTAACCATAGTCGAAAAGTCGGATAAGGTCTTTAATTCTTGGAAGAGACGGAGGTGATTTAGGAGACCCTTGTGATTAGATCGGTGGATCAGATACAGATCAAGTCAACTAACTATAATTAATTAGCTTTACCCTTTCCCAAGTAATTGGTTTGCCTGAGAGAGCAAGATTCCTCCTTCTTCTGCTGCTGCTGCTGCTGTGGTTGCTATTTTTAATATTCTTCCTATTTTCCCATTTCTTATTGTTCTTTTTGTTAGAGTTCAACTCTCAACTTTTGGTCGAGAGTATCTTTCGGAAAATCCAGGCTTCTGCTCCGTACGTTCTTTGGATAATGCAACAGATTTAGGCACCAGTTTTATATCAGACGCCAAATTGCTTTTCTACCGTCGGATGGGAACCCTTTAACAAGAAGTCTAGTAACTACTAAGAAGCCTTGACCCATGGAAACCCTACCTAGAAGGCTAGAAAGTTATTTAAGCAACTCAAATTAGATAGGCGTTCGAATCTCATATTTCCTCTTTGAGGCTCATTCAGCAAAAATTCCTCACTGCGGGGGGGCAACTAACCCTAAAAAGAACAGCCGCAGGTTAGTGGCCGGGCTCCGGCAGCGCCCACCGGCAAATATCTCCTCCGCCCACTATCACAAACTCTTAGTTTCAACTTGCTGAAATATGGCGATAGTGCGCACATGTATGATTATCGACCATAGATACAGCACGATTCCTGCTCTAATAAAAGTCAACTTTGTCTTCAATTGCTCAGATCCAGTCCGTTTCTTTCAACCGATCAGGCTTCAAGTCATCCCAGCCCTTTACCCTCGCTAGTACGGTGACTGCAGGCGGGCGGGGCGAGCAGCCTGCCAGTAAGCTAACAATCCACTTGCTGACAGAACTAATCTAGTGTTAAATAGTTGTAGCAATCTAACCCACTCTATCTGGTCAAGTAGGCTTCCCTTTGCGAAGTGGATTTGTCTCATATCCGACGTGACTAGTATATGGGCTTTTAGCCTCGTCCCGGACATCGTCCTCGATATAGCTCCAGAGACTGTGGTAGTTTCGGACCATATGGAGTACCTGTAAGAAATATCGTTCGTTTAATTACTTGTATCTCTGGGCTCAACGGACGAAATAAGCCCCGCGACCATCTTAGCTGGGCAGCTGGCCCACTAGACTGATAATCCAAATAGTAGACTTTTTCAGAACTAGAGCAGGCACAACTAAGAGGTAATAAGGCAATAAGGAAGATAACTAGGCTCGGTAAAGACATTTTAGTTTCGATCGAAAAGGGGGACACAACAGCAGGAAGGCCATAGAAGATAGAGGTAGTCGTTCAGCGCCGACAGCACATGTATAAAGGAAACGCCACAAGACCGAAGAAAGCTTCGTCGCAGTTTATTGCTCCCTCTCACACAGTGACCTGAACCATATGTCAAACCATTCGCAATAAGGGTTATTCACCTAATTCTGGGGTGCCTCTGTGTATTCCAGGTAAGTGCCTATGCTGTCTTTGCCTACTTCATAGTAGGTTTTACTACTCACACCCCCCACCCCTTCTTAATTGGTACATGATCACTTCAACCACCGAATAGCCATGTTTGACTCGCTTCTAGGTGACAAACACGGCCAATTACACGCTAGAGGATTGGGAAGAGGACATCAGACTGGCCCGAGATGTATCAATCGACGCCTTTGCACTCAATATGGCATACGAGAATCCCACCAATAACATTGCCTTACCGCTAGCATTTCAAGCTGCGGCTAGTGTAGAAGGCTCTTTTCAACTCTTCTTTTTATTTGATTATGCGGGGAATGGTCCCTGGTCTAAGGCCGTGGTGGCTGCACTGATCCTCCAATACAGCAGCCACTCGTTATACTATCTATACAACTCTCAGCCTTTCGTCTCAACCTTTGAGGGACCTGCAAATGCAGAGGACTGGACCATAATTAAAGAGCAAACAGGCTGTTTCTTTGTCCCAGACTGGTCCTCTCTCGGAGCCAAAGAGGCCCTAGAGGCCGGCGGGGGAGGCATCGTCGACGCCCTTTTTAGCTGGGCGGCGTAGCCCTGGGGACCATAAGACATGGACACCTATACGGATGCATCCTACCTGCAGTATCTCAACGAGAGTGGGCAGGCTCTTCCCTATATGATGCCGGTTTCTCCGTGGTTCTACACAGATCTACCGGGCTATAAGAAGAATTGGCTGTGGCGCGGTGACCATCTCTGGCATGACCGATAGTTGGAAGCCTGGTACCTGAGGCCGGACTTCATTGAAATTATTAGTTGAAATGATTATGGCGAGTCTTACTACATTGGCCCACTTCGAGATAATGCCATGGCAGCGTTTCAGATTGGTGAAGCGTCCTACAACTATGTGACTGGAATGCCCCATGATGCCTGGCGTGACCTCCTGCCGTACGTGGCTGACACCTACAAGGACTCAATCGCCACGGTTTACACCGAGACCCTAGTGGTGTGGTATCGTGTGCAGCCGGTCTCGGCGTGTGGCACTGGGGGCACTACTGCCAACACAGCCAGCGAGCTGCAGCTTGAGTTCACCCCAGCCGAAGTACTGACGGATATGGTGTTCTTCTCTGCGCTCTTAGAAGATACGGCGGACATCGCGGTGACAATCGGTGGGGTGTCAGTGGAGGCCGTCTGGCGGAACGTTTTCAACGAGAAAGGCCCTCAGACGGGCCTGTACCATGGACAAGCTCCATTTGGTGGACATACTGGGGAAGTGGTTGTTACCATTTCCAGGGATGGAACAACAATTGCCCAGGTGGCTGGTGAGACTATTAGCACAAGTTGCACTGACGGCCTCGCGAACTACAATGTGTGGACAGGCTCGGCTAAGGCGTCCACCAGCGTGAACGCCATCACCCCGGTTCTCCTAGACAATCAGGTGTGTATCAATGGCACCGGGGCAAACAACTTTGCTGGCTTGTGCGAGTTTGCTTGTATGTACGGTTACTGTCCCGTCAGTGCATGTACGTGCCTGGATATGGGGGTCCAAAAAACGCTACCCAATGCCACCGGTGTGCAGGGCTATCCACTCGAGGGCCTGGACGCCAGTTATAGTGGTCTCTGCAGTTTCGACTGTAACTACGGATTCTGTTCTGACACAGCCTGTGCCACCGTCTCGGCACCGCTGTCCGTGCCCACCGTCTCTGACTTTGATCCTCCGGCTTGTGTGTCAGGGACAGGGAGCGGCAACCTGGCGGGGCTGTGCAGTTTCAGCTGTGCCTTCGGCTTCTGCCCTATCAACGCCTGTACATGTACCGGCCAAGGTGCTTTGACGGTCAAAAACCCAACCTCGTCGGACGTGGGAGTGGCCATTGACCCGAAAGATAAAGCTATCTATGGTCCACTGTGTGAATTCGCCTGCCAGCGCGGCTACTGTCCCGAAGGCGCCTGCAAAATCGCCTTAAGCTCTTCCTCTTCGTCCTCTTCTTCGTCGTCATCATCATCGTCGGACACAGCCAGCGATGATGATGGCAACAACATAGTCTACATCGATTCCACTATCTGGGGAAGTCCATCACCCACTGTGAGCTGCGTACCCCCCTGTACCTTCATTTTGCCTCCCTACCCTATCGATCCCACAACCATTCATTGGCCGCCTGTCACCACGACATTCTACTCCAAGAACCCCGAGGACAATCAAACCTCTACCGTGACCTCGACCATTACCATTAGCAATTTCCCGGAGAGCGCAATACCATGGTGGCCAGTCACTGTTGGCGCAAACGATCCTAACACTACCACCTTTACTCCTGAGCAAAGCATTACACCCCCAGCGACTGTGATAACTCTTGGACCCTGGGAAGCTCCCATTCCCCCCAGTGTGACCCTATACCCGACCTCAAATCCCTCCGACACCAACAATCCTTCCTCCAGCAAGTCGTCTTCAACCTCGCATACGCCGGCCCTTATTGTCTTCCCCAGCACCTCTCATCCAGTGATCGTTCAGCCGCAGCCTACCGTCTCAATCGACTACCCACGCGTAACCCCACCAACCGTGCACTATACTCATGGCAGTGACAACGGACCCGCAGCCACGCCCTCATGTACTGGGTGCGGGACCTACGACTGCGGGCCCTTTGGCTGCCCTGGTCAAGGATGCGGCTCGTTCAGCTGCAATGGCGGTTGTGGGACCTATGGGTGCCCTGGGTCCAGCGGATCGGCTGGCTGTGGGCTCAGTGGATGTAAAGGCGATTGTTCTCTGGAGGTGTGCGGCGGCCTGGGCTGTGAGGATGGCTCTTGTGGGGATACCGGTTGCCCTAACGGCGACTGCTCGATCTCCTCATGTGAGCCCACCACTGCGACCAATTGCGTAGAATACTGCACGGTGACGACCAATCTGCCGGCTCTGCCAACGACCTCGTGCACCTCGTCCACTTGCTTTCCCTTCGTGGGCTGCGACGCCACAGCGACTACCGTCACTGTGACTTCCACCAGCGAGGAGGCCTGTCCGGCCTTCACCACAGTCCCGCCCGCCACCGTGGGCGAGGATCGTTACAAGGGCTGCAGCCCGTGTGCTTGGGCCGAAATGCCTCTGACTACCGACGGGGCGGACTATAACCTGGACAGGCGGTATGCGGAGCCTACCGCTTACGGTGCTATGATGGAGCCCCCCTCCTCACCCGAAAAGCGGGCAGCCAAGGCCAAGGTCTATCCCATCACGTCCAAGTCTATAGGCGGCTGCGCGTTACCTACTCCCCTGACGTTGACATGGCTAGGGGGGGGCTCATTTCTGAAAAATGCTCTCAACGACAATCTCCAACCCAACCAGCAGAATATGCCCCGGTGGTACTCCAAAACGGTCGAGAATTGTGTTCCGACGGTGACGGACATCAGTGACCACCTTATGAGTACTAACAGCAAGAATAGCCCTGGCAAAGCCCAACAGCCTACCAATGACCATGTTTGTGAGTCGTCAAAAGTCCCCTTTCTTTTGAGAAAACTTGTTTCTTGTCATCTTGCCGTGTGTTCTCTGAAGCGCTGTTGCTTTCTCCTTTGTGGATGCAACAGACTAGTCCCGGGAAGGACTACAAGAGGGACTGTCTTGCAGTCAGGTCCTCGGAAGTCGGATAGTCGCACCTACTATCGCTACTGTTCCGGCCACTGTTCTGGCTACTCATCCCATAGATTGCTCACTCGAGTTGTCTGTATGATTGCTAATAAACTGGACTGTACAGGGGAGCGGAATTGGTTCAATGCCTTCTGGGTATACATGATGGAACAGCCAGACTGGACCTGCGACAGACTAACCACCGTGATGTTCAACGAAGGGTGCTCGGTCAACCTCCTGCAAAAGGTCTTCAATGCAGTGGCCAATAACAAAGAATGGGACTTTATTGGTATGACCCATGAGGTGAACAGCGACTACAAAGGCCTGGTAAGTACTATTCACTAGTACCCTCCGTTTCAGTGGTTTGGACCAGGACGTATTCCAATCTTGCACTTCTACTATTTCTAGCACTCCAGCTTGTGGGAAATATTCTTATGAGCATGGGGCTGAAGGAAGGAAAGGGCAAGAAGCGATGTGGCACAGACTTCATTTGATGCGTATGATATGAACAAACGGCAAGGGCTAGGGCTAACAAAATCCATCAGATCGGTGACTACCCGTCCATTGCCCCGGAAAAGGACAATATAGTCAGGAGGAATAGGATTTCAGCGTCCTTGGCATGGGCTCCGGATAACGGAGACGGGGCCCGACAGAAGCTGGCGAACAAGCTCAATTTTCTGGAAAAGCTAGCCATGAGCTGTTATATTTGGACGCAGCCATGGCTGACCCCCGTGCTTGACACGACCAACAACAAGGTTTATACGGAACTGTAAGTCGTGCCGCACTGGCCATTCTAGCTTTTTTCTAGTGGAAGTTGCTGACACGGATGCAGTCTTGCGGTCGACGAGTATACAGCGGGCAACGAGAATATGGACAACACCAATCTGGCTACCTCATATCAAACATACATGAACGACCGTATGAAGCTCATGATGAGGAGGGCGCTGGAACCGGCGAACGAGATGGTAGAAGACCTAGACGCGAGCTTTGACACTGCCCTCGGATCCGCCAGTACGGTTAAAGACTTGGCCGGTGTGAAAGAGTGGGAGGCATTGAATAATGCGTTCAACACTTTGATCACGCAATTCAAGCTAAGGTCCACGGCAGAACATGTATGTTCCAGGTCCGTCACCTTGAGCTGGACGAAGCTGGACAGCGCCAAACGCGACCTGGGCGATGAGATTTGCGAATTACCTACCACCACCACCACCACTTCATCGTCCAGCACGTCGAGCGCCACCACCACCACAACTACTACCACTGCCGCGCCGTCTCCCGACCCCACGGCACAAGTGGTGATCGCACTTGCCGAAGATGCCAGTTCCCTCACCCCTTTCAGTTGGCAGTTCTTCGATGTTGCAATTGGGGCAACTCTGGAAGCGTGCGACGGCACTGGTGAGATCTTCGCGCCCGACGACGAGGATAGCGACGGATATCCGTATCCGGATGGGGACTGGACGCTGGGCTTCAACGTCGACGGCATGAGTGGCTGCAGCTACTCCGGCACAAGCGACGGGCCCGGCACGTTGACCTGCCCCGCTCTGTCGGCCCCCGTGCAGTGCCAGACTGCAGGCAACAAGGACACCGTCTACTGTTATGGCGTGGACGTCACATCCATCACCCCGATGGTCGTGTGTTTGTGGTGATGAGGCGGTGCTCTCGATGGTGTGCATGTGCGTGTGGGTTTGTGTTTGTAAAGTACATAGATGTGCATAAAGTTTTGATGTTGTCGTATTATATAGATGGAAATTCCAGTACCCCCTTGTTTTGTTTTAACAGACTGTCCGCAACCGTACCGTTAGAGCCAGGCCCATAGCGCCTACTACTAAGTTCTGGGCACCAGGCAGTCAGTTTGCTTGGATCAACACCCTTCTCTTTGGGAAGAAAATCCTGAGTAGCAGACCTTGATGGCTGGGGAAAGCGTAAGGATCCAGCAATCGCCGCAGGTATCGGGTGATGCCACATCCCATGAATCGATTACATCTACATTCGCCAGTAAGTCAGTGGGATACACCCCGCTTTCGTGCTGCCCCGAACAGACATACCATTACAATACGCGCCGTCGGCGTTTTTCATGCACGTCTCATTCCAGCCCACGCAGATACTGTCAATGACCCATAAGACCGGAAATTTCTCGGCGATCAGGGCATCTACATTGCACTGGGCCACGACGTGGTCATGGGAGCGGGCCAGCGTCTGGCCGCAGGAAGCCGAGCATACCGTGGTGGTCAGGGCAGGGTCCTTCATGCCGCCGTGGTAGACCGACTCCCCGAGGTTCGATACGTGGCTGCGGCATCTAGACAGTCTTGCAGAGCATCTTGGCAGCTTGGAGTGGGATTGGAGGTGCTGATAGACTGACTGGGGACTAGTTGGAATGCATTGGGGTCGGAGTCGCAGGCGTCGTGCGTCTGGAGATAGAAGTACCGGTGATAGAAGTAGACGCGAGGGTCTTAGCTGAGAGTACCCTGTATCCACAGGGACAATACAGCCAGAAGTTAAAACGAGCGCATGATGTGCCGACCAACCCACCTAGGACGCCCGGCAGTAACTGTCTCCGTGTGTAAGAAAGCGGCAGAAGAATTTCTTTAGCTTTGCCTGTCCAGTCGGCCGCTGCCAATATTTCGGGAAGGCATTTGGAAAGAACCCGAGACTGGAACTCTATAACTGTACGCACTAGGATATACTAGATTACTTGTAAGTCCATCTATATGCTAATCTAAAGACTTAGTTACTCTTGACTAAAGATCCCTAGAAGATATTACAGCTTATTATTGATATTATAGGTCGAGCGGACAGCATCTTTTTTTAGGTTATACTGGTTGCCTAATCCTTACTATAGTAAAGCTATCTTGACTTTACCCAGCATTATAAATTACGACTCTTGTATTCAATAAAATTTAGATAGTTTCTTCATATTGTCTTTATCTTTAAATAAGCTACTACTTTTTAGATAAATATTAGTTTTCATATCTTTGTCATGGGTAATCCCCGGAAGCATAGGGAACCACCAACGGCTTGCCTACGTATTCCTGATGCCCTATACGGAAACACCCTGCTACCTAGATGTCAGGTATTGCTAGAGAGGTAAGAAGACATATTCTATTAGTCCCAGGTCGTCTTAAGTTTCCAACTTTGTTGTATGCCGGCTTGCTCATGACCATCATTCCTTTCCTCCTTTGAGCCATGTGGTCTGGGTGGGGATCTACCGGCTCTGTTTCAGCCCTATTGCCAAGTTCCCCGGTCCTCAGCTGGCCGCCCTGATGGCGCTTTATGGGGATACTTCGTTCTGATCCCTAAAAAGAGCGGGCAAACAATTCCAGATCAAGTGCACACACGCGAAGTAAGGCCTGATTGTGCGCATTTGAATCCGGGATTTGTAGTGAAGCAGTTAGTCGCTTCGGTTGCTTTTCAAAGGGGAGAGAAAGAGCTTATCTTACCTTACCTTATCGTGGCTTAGTCATATCGCGTCATTGCAAGTGGCGGTCTGTGCTTCTTTACCCCGATTATCAATCCAATCCTCGCGCCTTATCTCCTCCTTCCCTTCCTTCCATCCCATCATCCATTTTTTCCCCCCCTTTCGCAACATGGCCAGCTGCTTCTCTCCTGTTTAACGGTCATGGAAGAAGGTTGAATATAGCGTGTTGGATCTGGGAATGAACTTTGGGCGTGTTTGCACCGCATGAACTACCAAACCATCAACATGGCGGGCGATGCCTCCCCCAATGCCTCGGGCCCATATCGCCAGGCCCCAGAGGTCTCGTCGATCCCATCCACGAATGCCGATGGTGATCCCAGCCGATTCGGGGCCGATAGCTCGAATCCCAAACTTCACCGACAACAGTCGTCGGAGATTTTCGCGGAGAGCTTCACAATCCGCTCCTTGCTGGTCGGGATCCTCATTGGCGTCTTGATCACATTCTCGAACACCTACTTCGGCCTGCAGACGGGATGGATCAGTACAATGGCCATGCCCTCGGCCCTGATCGGCTTCTCGGTCTTCAAAGTCTTCTCGAAATACCTGTCCTACCCGTTTACCCCCATCGAAAATGTCCTCATACAAACGGTTGCGGGCGCGGTCGGTACCATGCCACTCGGGTGCGGCTTTGTGGGTGTGGTTCCTGCGTTGGAATTCCTGATCAAGGACGGACCAGATGGTCCATCGGGGGACGGTGGTACAGGAGAGGGGGGTCCGCTCAAGCTTGGTTTCGGAAAACTGGTGCTCTGGAGTCTCGGGGTCTGCCTGTTTGGCGTTGTCTTCGCCGTCCCCTTGAGGAAAGAAGTCATCGTGCGGGAGAAGTTGAAGTTCCCCAGCGGTACAGCATCGGCATTGATGCTTAAGGTGCTGCACGGTGGCGGCTGGCGCCGCGAGAAAACAGAGGCCCAAGCTAGTGAAGCTGGTGAGGCACAAAGGTTTCGAGAGGAATCCGAGGCGCCTTTGTTGGCGCAACAATCGGAGAATGACGACATTCTCGCAAAAGATGACCCGGCCGATCTAGCAAGGGATAGGGAAGATTGGAGAGCGAAGATGCGTCTCTTGGTGGGTGCGTTTGCCGTGTCCGGCGTATATGTAAGGGTTTATGTCTTCCGTGTGCGATTCGGTCTTCCAGCTGACACAGTTATCCCCAGACTTTGTTTTCATACTTTGTTCCTCAAGCCCGCGACATTCCTATTCTTGGTCTCTACCTCGCACGGAACTGGCTGTGGACCCTCAACCCATCGCCCGCCTACGTTGGCCAGGGCATCATCATGGGTCCTTCCACCTGCATGCACATGCTCTTCGGGGCTGTCTTGGGCTGGGGTATACTGTCGCCGCTTGCGAAAGCTCGTGGCTGGGCTCCCGGGCCTGTGGACAGCTGGGAAGACGGAAGCAAGGCGTGGATTGTGTGGATATCGTTGGCTATCATGCTTGCAGATTCCATCGTCAGTCTCGGCTGGCTGGTGGTTCGGCCCCTCTTGTCGTACGCTCCCCAAGTGAAAGACAAAGTGCTTTCCAGTAGCGTCGGACGTCGCATATTCCCTGAAGCAGCAACATCCCGCTCGCATCAGCATTCCTATGTCAGCTATTCTGCCCTAAACCCTATCACCGAAGAATCATCCTACCAGAGCCGTCTCTTTCCGCCCCTCGAGAGTCGCCCGAAAACCAGCGACGACAACGAAGAAGATGCGCCGCCCTCGCAGCTCATCTCTACCCGCACAGTACTTATATCACTACCGTTGACGTTGATCCTGAACGTGGTTTGCATGCACATCGTGTTCGGCGACCTGATGTCGCCCCTCCTATCAAGTCTTGCCACACTCCTGGCAGTCCTTCTTTCCATCATGGGTGTTCGCGCTCTGGGCGAGACCGATTTGAACCCGGTCTCCGGCATCAGCAAGCTGACCCAGCTCATCTTCTCGCTCGCGACCCCGGCATCGCACTTCTCCCGCCGCACCGCCCTCGTCACCAATCTCCTCGCCGGCGCCGTCTCCGAGTCCGGCGCCCTGCAGGCCGGAGACATGATGCAGGACCTCAAGACCGGCCACCTCCTGGGCGCCAGCCCCAAGGCGCAGTTCTACGGCCAGATGATCGGCAGCCTGATCGGCGCGGTGCTCTCCACCGCGGTCTATAAGATGTACGTGAGCGTCTACGAGGTCCCCGGCCCTATGTTCCAGACGCCGACCGCCTACGTCTGGATCTTCACGGCCCGCCTGGTCACCGGCCAGGGCCTCCCGCCGATGGCCTGGCAGGCCTCCCTGGTCGCCGGCGTCGTCTTCGTGGCCGTGACCGTCCTGCGCATCGTCGCCGCCTCCCCCGTCGCCAACGCCGGCCAACGCGGCGTCACCGCGCCCTGGCGCGACTGGATCCCCGGCGGCATCGCCGTCGCCGTCGGCATTTTCAATGTCCCCTCCTTCACCCTGGCGCGCGCCATCGGAGGCCTGATCGCCTGGTGGTGGGCCCGTCGCCACGCTGCTGCTGCTGCTGCTGCTGTCAGCCATCCTGACGCGGATCACTCGACCGCCCCGGATGCTGCGGATGGCGGAACCCCCCGCGTGCCAGGAACAAGATCTGCTGAACAAGCCAGCAAGGTCGCGGACGCGGACGCGGCGTCCTCGACCGTCGTCGTTCTGGCATCCGGCCTGATCCTCGGGGAAGGCATCATCAGCATTGTGAACCTCCTGCTCGCGAGCGGCAAGGTGCCTCATCTTTAAAATTAGATTATAAAGAGGAGAACTATAGACAAGCCGAGCCCCGCCGGGCTCGGTTTTCTCTGGTACATACTACTACCTATAGACAGAGAGTTTTCCTACTTGGACCGTGAAGAGTTCTTCTCGGAATGAAATCATACGAGAGAAATGGCAATTCTCAGACTTTATATCTTTTCTAAGCTAGGTTCAGCATCAGCTGCAACTTCGCTCCGGGTTGTACTGCACTTGTACACATTCACATAAAACATTACATACATGTCAACATACACTAAACATTCACGTACAGGAGGAAACCTTCTTCGAAGAGAAAAAGTAGTGTGATAAGATTGTACCTTTTCTTCCGTATTCTGCTCGTCGTGGTGTCTCTACCCCCGTTTTGTCTCATGCAGCACGCACGGCAATACTCTCCAAAGGAAGAACATTATTTGTGCAGAGCAGCAGACATCAAACTTAAGGCCAGAATAGCGGGAAGTTAGATAAATTCGGCTCGAAATACTTGTGAGAGTCAAAGATAGAAAAGATTGTACGGGTTGGAAGAAGCTGAATCGAGAAGCAAGTGGTATATTGGGATAGCATAGCCAAAAAAAAAGAATAGCAAGGGGATAGTGGAAAAGATTAGAACCAAGAAGCGTTGGACAGCCCGGGTTCGAATCCAAAATGGTATCCAGACATATCGTATCACGCATTTCACACATCGAATCACTCCAGATTCCCATGTCCTATCTCGAAAAGAAAAAAAAGAGTACGCAGTAGTCTTTGTGAGTGTGGACGGCAACCGGGGGGGTGGGTGGGTATCTTGTATCATCTCCATAGAAGCGTACTTGGGGAAGAAATCATGATGACATATCTGTTCAGGAGAAAGGTAAAAAAAAAGTGGGGGTTCAAGAATAGAAAATAAGTGACAAGGTGAAAAGGGAAAGGGGATGTGTACTGCAGCTGAAGCTATGTCCAGGCTTCCAGCATAGTGGCGTGTATTTTGCTCTATCGTTGAAGTCAACCAAGCTGTGACTCCGTTTGTTCAGGCCGAGTTAAGCAAGGCAATCACCACTCGCGGTTGCCAGTCTCCGAGATCGGGCTTTCGACAACGGTCGGTGTTGCCCTGGGAATGGTGGACACTGGTGGCATCATCGGACCTCCCAAGGGACTCGGACCCGGAAACCCGCCTTGGCGAGGGTTGGGCCCCATAGCAGCACCCGTACTGTTGCTTCGTGACCGTTGGCTTGCCGGCATGGAAGGCTTCTGCATCCCTGGAAGACCGTAAGGTCCAGGGCTCATTGATCTGGGTGCCATCGGTCTAGGGCCCGGCCCCGGCGAGAATGATCTGGGAGCAGGTGGACCCTGAGCAGGGGACATGGGACGCTGGTTGGGGAGACGCAGTGGCATAGGACCGGGACCGGCGTAGCTGGGCTGGCCAGGCGACATCGGACGAGCAGGCGACTGTGGCCGAGGCAGCGGGGGATTGAAGCTGGACGATGGCGTGGTGGGCCTAGGGGGCATAGGACGATTGGGCGCTGCCATCGGCGGGCCACGAGCTCCAGGACCTGGAGGGGGTCTGGGCTTCAGAGGCCGCGAAGATAGACATGATCGAGGGACAACACCCTGTTGCGATCGATCAAGTCTAGTGCATAGAGCCCACCCGTCGTCATACTCGTGCAAAAGTCTGACAAGCTGACCGAAATGAAGTTCCAACTCATCCTCCATTGAAGGGTTGAAGTCCATTTGCACGCGATGCACGTTTCCTGGTGGAGGAGGAGCAGGCCCGGAAGGCGGAGGGCGTGGTCCAGGAGCGGCGACAGGAGCAGCGACGAGTGTGCTTGGAGTAGTAGCGGTGGGAGTACCATCTAGGACGGCCTCTTGGGAAATAGCTTGGGGACCTGTTTCGGAGTCTTCAGGAGACACGGGCAGTTGCTTCTCTTGTGTTTTCGACGTAGAAGTAGCTACAGCTGCAACGCCAACGACAGCAGCTGCGGCCGCAACCCCAGTAACGATGGCGTCTTCAGCAACCGGTTCCGACTCAGCGGCACTCACAACTGGTGAAATCTGCTCGGTCTCCGCAGTAGCAGCTGTCTCTTCTGGAGTAGAAGCGGCCTCCTCGGTAGCCTGTGGGACAGGTGCAGATGCAATGCTAAGTGCAGTGCTCGAGGCGAGAGGAGATGGGGCTTCCGCACCATTGCTGAAAGGGTTGACAGGGTCGCCAAATGGGTCTGAACCATGAGAGCTGGAATTTGGTGTTTGGGGCGGCGAAGGATGATCCGTGAGAGAGCGACTGACAACAGCAGATTCAGCAACGGGTGCGAGACTGCCACCCACAGAGAGCCCAGCCGCACCACTGTTCGACGCGAAATCCGATGCGAAGGGTGCAAATTGAGTCACAGGGCGAATGTTGAGCTGAGGCGGACTGGGCGAGGTCACAGATTCCGGCTTCGGAGGGGGAGGGGGTGCGATATCATCCTGGCGCACGTACTTCTCATTCTCAGGTTCGACTTCCTGAATGTGCTGACCTTGCTTTTTCTTGCGGAGCCAGAGGAGGATGAAAACTGCAATCGCACCGACTGCTACTATCACCCCGATAGCGATTCCTGCCTTCGCACCACCAGTGAGGCCTTGCGAAGCAGGCATAGCCGTGGGAGAGGCCGATGCTGCGGGAACACTTGTGGACGATGCAGTGACGGCAGCATCCTCTAATCCAGTAATAGCCGAAGTCGAGGAAGAGGAGCTGGTTTGAAATGTAGTTTGGGCCGTCGACGTGTGAACCTGTTCAGTGATTGCTGTCTCCGATGCGTGAGTCGTCTGCTCTGCCTTCTGTGTGGTGGTGGATTGGCGATCAGAGTCCTTCGTGGCGGTTGCTGCGGCTTCGACCTTCGTCTTCTCGCTTGTCTGGATCGTGGTTGTTTCCTCCTTCGAGGAGGACCGAGTCTGCTGAATCGGGGCACCTAGACCGGCGGTTGCCTTGTCGCTTGTGTCCGAGGAAGTTTGTGACATGGTCACATACCCTCCAATAGGCCCATCGAAGTCTGCAGATAGAGTAACATAGACCACGGTGACATCGTTGTCGGGGCTTCGCGCGTGGAGATTGGCGACATGGTCACGATGCGCATGCGCATGCACCATGATGGAAGGTGTTGTTATGTTGTGGCTTGGGTGTGTGTAGTGTTGTGATGATAATGACTGTTGCGACTGGCTGGAAATATCGTACTATGCAAAGATGGCGGGGTTCGATCAATGTCAAACTAAGAGAAAAGAGTGAAAGGGTACTAGCCCAAAAACAGGTGCCAGACCAAAAAGAATCGCGAATTGCTTCTTCAGTTCGTCAGCCAGATCACTCCAATCCAGCCACGGAAAGCAGAGAAGGAAGACAAAGCGCGTTCAGGAATGTGTGGATTGGAAGGAATGGAAGGCTGAGAAACAGCCGATGTACAGTATACTCGGGAGCGGGGCTGGGCCACACCCGGTCAAAATGGACAAAACGAAGGACAGACAGCTTCCAGGCCGCAGAGTGTACAGGGGGGAAGGTGAAAAGAAGAAGAAAGGAGAGACTAAAGAAGATGATTGAAGGGAAGGTATGAAAACAGAAGAAGAGGAAAGAGAGAAAAGAGTCCGAGGACATTGGCAACCACGGGTTTGAGGGGATAGATACGAGGCTAATCTAATTACAATCGGCGCAGACGAGCAGCGGGACAAACCAAAAGAACCGAAATGAAGGCCAGAGTATAAATTGAGTGGGGGATGGCCCAATCAGCCCGTGTATCACCCAGTACTGCTGAACTTTCAACTAACCTTTCATGGTGCAATTTGATGCGGGATCCCCGCTGCACTCAGGCACATCTGGTGTCTCATTGGTAAGAGCAGATTACCGTCCCTGGTTTTGTGACGGTAATCTCTCTCCCCCCCCCCCCCCCC